AAACATATCTAGTGAGTCAGGGAGATGGAAAGAAAGAGACATGGAAATGATCCAAGTTGAGGTTGGAGAAGGAAGCAAAGGGCTGGTAGTACAAAGCCTTCCTTTCATAATTTTGGTCTTTATCTCAAGACTCAACAGCTATTGTAGAAGTGTAAGGAAAGAGATGAATAGTTAGATGTGCATTGAAAAAACATGACTCTGGGCAAGAAGGAAAGCCAGGACATCAGCTAGGATGTTCCTGCAGTGGTCCAATTGCTACGGTGGTAGCAATGGGTAGAGACAGAATGGATGCATTTAAGAGACAGTCAAGTGGTAAAGAGGTACAATATGTACAAGGGAAGTATTCCTCGAGTTCCAAGGAAGGCTTAATATCAGTGACTGAAGAAGTGTATTGTCTACCTATCCCAATGCTTAGGAGAAGACTTAGAGGTGAATTTTTCCCTTTGTCTTCCATCATCTCCTGTCAATTCTGTGCTTGTTTTACTACTAGAAAGCTGGCTGAGTGAAGGGGTTTAGGTTTCCACTGAAAAAATAAAGTTGCCTGAGGGTACAGTCTAAGCTGTGTGCCTCACTGCGCTAGAACATGGGGCATAAAGAAGACTGGGTCTTGGCCTCTGCCTTTTTGACATTCTCATTGTCAAACCAGGGAGACCTGTCCAGAGCATCATGGTACAATACCAAGGCCATTAGGAGTTAGTGGGAGACTTTGAGGGAGCCAGGATAATATTGTGGTGGTTAAGAGAGCAGGCTCTGGAGTCTGGGTTTGAATTTGGAAATACCTATTTACTAACTTCCTCCTCTAAATTGCCTTATCTAAGACATGGGACTAATAATAGTATATTATTCATAAAGTGGTTCTAACAGTAGTATAGCATGATATATTAAATCATCAATTGGCCAGGCACATAGTAACTGCTTAATAAATGCAATCAATTTATGTTATTATAGGGGAGGGGCCAATTAGCCATCTGCATAGAGTCAGGAAAGGTTACACTGTGATCCCTTACAACTTATTTAAAGAGTATATATAATTGACCTTTAATAAATGCTTGCTTAGGGAATGAGTATGTTTTATGACAATAAAATAATTTATTGAGCATTTATTCTATGTTAAGCCCCTTATAAAGGGCCTTATAAAGATATTTTATAGATATAGATATTTTATAGATATTTTATAGATAAAGAAAATAAAGATATTTTCTCATTTAATTCTTATCTGATCCTAAGAAGAAAATACAATTCTTATCCACATTTCACAGATGGGAGTCCTGAGGTCTCAAAACATCAGTTATTTGCCCACGATTACAGAGTAAAAGCTGTATTTAAGCTGGGATTTAAGTTCAGTCCAGACCAATTCCAAGCTTCGCTTTTAACTTCTACAAGTTCTGCAAGCTTCTTTACCTAAAAGCACTGCTGAATTAAAACTAGCTTTTACTTATTATGTACTTGCTCAGTTGATTGATACGAAAAATACATTAGTATACAGAATCAAAAAATATTCATAGTATTTTACCTGAACATCTTCATTTTATAAATAAACACTTATTGTAGGAAAATAAATAGGTATGGGAATAAAAAATAACTTCTTATTATAACTCATAATTACTATACACATTTTGCTGTGGATTTCTTCAGACGTTTTTCCCATTGCATTGATGTTTGAGTTGTATGTATGTAAACCCACATTTTTATAATAAAAATTGAATGAAGTTAAATCGCACATATTTTACCCTACTTTTTCATTAAGAATTATTGAAAACTCAGTAGTACTAAGCATGGTTGATGGCACATAGTAAAGATGCAGCAAATGTCAGCAGCCGTTGTCACCACTGTCATCAACATCATCTTGCCCTCCAGTAAGGCTGTAATAATTTGACATCCCAACAACAAATTATTCTTTTCACCACACCTCCAGCAAACTTGGCTTCTGACAATTCTTTTGTGTATGCCAATCTTGAAGAATGAAAATGGAATTAGGCTGTTGTTTTACTCTGCACATATTTTATTACTAATGAGATTAAACATTAGTCATTTTTATGTTTTGAATTTTCCTTCACTTGCTATTTTATTCGTTCTCTATTTTATTTTTTTTAATTTTTAGTTTTTTTTCTTGAAGTATATTTGATTTAGACTGTTGTGTTAGTTTCTGGTGTACAGAAAGGTGATACAGTTATACATATATATGTATCTACACATATGTATATATAGTTTTTCAGATTCTTTTCCATTGTAGGTTATTATAAGGTATTGAATCTAGTTCCCTATGCTGTAGAGTAGGACCTTGTTGCTTATCTGTTTTATATGTAGTAGTGTGGATCTGTTAATACCAAGCTCAGTTTATGATGGAGGATGTTCTGCCTATGTTCTCTTCTAGGAGTTTTAAGGTGTCCTGTCTTATATTTAAGTCTTTAAGTCATTTTTCGTTTATTTTTGTGTATGTTGTGAGGGAGTGTTCTAACTTCATTGATTTACATGCAGCTGTCCAGCTTTCCCAACAACACCTGCTGAAGAGACTGTCTTTTCTCCATTGTATATTCTTGCTTCCTTTGTCGAAGATTAATTGACCATAGGTGTATGGGTTTATTTCTGGGCTATTCTGTTTCATTGATCCATATGTCTGTTTTGTGCTAATACCATGCTATTTTGATTATGTAGTTTTGTAGTATTGTCTGAAGTCTGGGAGTGTCATGCCTCTAGCTTTCTTCTTTTTCCTCAGGATTGCTTTAGCAATTCTGGGTCTTTTGTGGTTCCATATAAATTTTAGGATTATTTGTTCTAGTTCTGTGAAAAATATCATGGGTAATTTGATAGGGTGCATTGCATTAAATCTGTAGATTGCTTTGGGTAATATGGTCATTTTAACAATATTAATTCTTCCAATCCAAGAGCATGGGGTATCTTTCCATTTCTTTGAATCATCTTCAGTTTCCTTTATCAGTGTTTTATAGTTCTCAGTGTATAAGTCTTTCACCTCCTTGGTCAAGTTTATTCCTAGGTATTTTATTTTTTTTTGACATGATTTTAAAAGAGGTTTATTTTTTTTTTGACGTGATTTTAAAAGAGGTTTTTTTTTTTTTTCTGACAGTTCATTTCATTTCTGTGTTTCCTGTACCTGAATATCTTTCCTTCTTTAGGTTTTGGAAGTTTTCAGCCATAATTTCTTCAAATACTTTTTTGGTCCCCTTTTCTATTTTTTATCCTCTGGGATCCCTGTTATGTGTAGATTGGCATGCTTTTTTTTTTTTAACATCTTTATTGGAGTATAATTGCTTTACATTGGTGTGTTAGTTTCTGCTTTATAGCAAAGTGAATCAGCTATACATATACCTATATCCCCATATCTCCTCCCTCTGCGTCTCGCTCCCACCCTCCCTATCCCAGCCCTCTAGGTGGTCACAAAGCACTGAGCTGATCTTCCTGTGGCACGCTTTATATTATCCCATAGGTCTCATGTTGCTTTCATTTTTTTCATTTTTCTTTCTGTCTGCTATTCTGATTGAGTGATTTCCATTATTCTATCTTCCAGATCACTTCTTCTCTCTTCTGCATTATTTAGTTTGCTATTTGTTGCATTTACCTCAGTTTTCATCTTGGCAATTGAGTTGTCTAATTTTAATTGTCCTCTTTATAGTTTCTACTTCCTCATTACAGTGATCCACACTTCTATCCATAGTCTTTCTTAATTTCTTCAGGATTTTTATTACTTCCTTTTTGAACTTGGGGTCTAGTAAACTGGAGAGGTCTGTCTCATTGTTTGTTCTTTCAGGGGATTTCTCTTCTTTTAATTGGGAATGGTTTCTCCTTCATTTTACTTATATTTCTCTGACTCTATTAATTTAGGAGAAGCAGTTATCTATTGTGGTCTTGAAGGGCTGTTTTTATTTGAGTCTAATATTTTTAGCATCCTGTATGAGGCTAATATTTTTCGTGCTAGGGCTGTTTTCGGTATGGATGCCTGCCACATCTTTCCTCAGTGTGTGCTGGCCATTATCCCCTTGATAGAGGGTGTGATTGATGTTGTGGTGGCCAAAGCCTGCACTGGATGTTGGAGGGGTCTCCTCTTTGCTCCATGGTTGTCATAGCCCTGTCGGGGGCAGGGCCTGCTCCCCACTTATTGGAATAGAAGCCCTCAGATCTGGTTCTAAGCTGTGGCGCACTCTCGCTGGGAAAGGGACTGGCGCACTCTCGCTGGGAAAGGAGCCAGTGGGTATTCCCCCGCAGGAGCCGTCCACTGAGACGTGTGCTCTGTGATGTTGCCTCTCACCCTTGTGCGTGCTTACAAAGTGCACTGTTGAAACTGCCCTCTGCCCCATCTCAGCAGAGGAAAAGCTGGCAATCAGGCTGCAAGTCCCTCAGGCGCTGCGCTCACAAATCTGCCAGTGGCGTAAATCTGTGGAAGTCACGCGCCCACCAGGAATCAGTTCAGATTTCAGCCCCACTTCTGTGTGTGGGCAACCTGCAGGTGTTTGGGTGCGCCCAGAGCTTGTAGAGTTGGGGCTGCACCCTCTGTGAGCAGGCTGAGAGTGAGGCTGCTGTGACAGGGCCATGCCCCTCCCTTTGCACTAGCAGTGGCAATAGGGCTCCTATTTGCCCTCACACACCGCCAGCTGTGACCTGGACCACTCCTGAGGCCCTTGGGGCTGTCTCTGCGTGGCCTAACTGAATCTCCTCCCTGGGTTTGTCTGCTGAAGCCCGAGTATCAGAACCCAGCTGCCACCGGCGAGCACTCCAGCAGGTATGCGCTTCAGGCTGGGGCGTGCAGTGAGGTGGCCAGGACCTTCTGTGCAGGTCTCTGTTTGTCCTGCCTTCTACAAGCTGGCTGCTGCACTCACCTCTGAGCCCCTGAAGCTTCCTATCTGTCCTGGCTGATCTCCCAGCCAGTGAAGGCGGTTCCCAGGGTGAGGGAACTTTTCACAGCTCCCTCCAGGGGTACAGGTCCCGTCCTGCTTCCTTTTCTCCCCCTTTCATCCTACCCAGTCATGTGGTGGTCTTTCTTGCAGCTGTGGCTGTATGAGACCTTCAGCCAGCACTCAGTGGGTGTTCTGTGAGAACTGCTCCACATGTGATATAGTTTTGATGTATCTGTGGGAGGAGGTGAGCTCCACGTCCTTCTATTTCACCATCTTCATCTCCCAGTCTGCTTATTATTTTCTTATCGGTGAGTAAGGACTCTTTATGTTATGATTCTCATGTATTAAATGTATATTGCAGATATTTTCATCAGCTTGTGGTTTGATTTTCTATTTATATTTTAGTGTATTTTTTAAACAAGTAATTTAAAAATTAAGTAATTAAATTGGTTGGTCTTTTTATTGTGGTTTTTCTCTTTGGCATTTTACAAATAAATGTTTTATTCATATTTATGTAATAGAAATATGACATTTTTGACATATAAAAGCGGTATGCATCTTTCAGAACTTGGGAACCATTGGTATAAGAAATAAAGTCACATGGGGTTTGGATCTGCATTTATGGTGTCACTGGGAAGAACTGAAAAGCTCTTTGCTTTGGGGAGAGTTTCAGTGGCTTGTGAATGTTTACCAAGTTTCTCGCTTGTCAAAGTCTGAAGATATGAGATTTTTTTTTTCTTTTTGTTTTCATCTCCTTTTCTTGAAACCAGAGTGTCTTGTTTTTCAGGTAATCCACTACAAAGTGCAATACATCAAAAGGGGCTCATCTTTATATTAAAGTTGGGACTTCTGAGGCAGAGGGATTAGTTACATTTTTGAAATTGTTAAATTAACACAATCAGAATAATAGTAATGGATCAAATATTTCTGCATCTTACATTATGTTGTTCATCATGAAGATGAAAATATTTTCACTTTTCAAAGATATACGTTTATGTATTATACAATATTAAGTAGATAAAAACTAGATACATCTTGCTGTAGACTTGAAAAAAATACTGACAAACTTGCAGATGAAATTCTGGCTTATTTTATGAACTCAGTTTTTAACAGTGGGCTTATTCTGGATTAAAAGGCCATGTAATGAATCACGTTTATTGTGAAATTCATCAATCAAAATAGAAATGTCCTTCTTCCCGTCAAAGAGATATACGATTTTATGAACAATTTAATTCCACATTTAACTGAAAATCCTTCTTTTCTTCTAGTTTTTGTTTCTATCAATTTGACATCATACATGGCTACTGATGGCAGTGATCTTGTAAGTACCCTTTGGAATACTTCAGACTTGAAATATTAATTGTCAGTTTGATGAATGAGTAAAAAATTATGTTGATTTTAAGTTTGGCTAGCTATTTATTGTCCTCCATTTGGTTAGTCACAATGGAATTAAATGATCCTCTTGTTAGAGTCTGAGGGTTTCTTATGATCACCAAGCATTTGTTTAAGACTCCTAGCTATTTACTTTTTTTTTTTTTTTTTTTTGCGGTACGCAGGCCTCTCACTGCTGTGGCCTCTCCCGTTGCGGAGCACAGGCTTCGTACGCACAGGCTCAGCAGCCATGGCTCATGGGCCCAGCTACTCCGCGGCACGTGGGATCTTCCCAGACCGGGGCACGAACCCGTGTCCCCTGCATTGGCAGGCGGATTCCCAACCACTGTGCCACCAGGGAAGCCCTCACTGTGGTTTGGTCAAGGGCAAAAGCAAATGGATGTCACAGATCTGTAAAGATAGAGTCAGGGAGACTCAGGTTCAGAAAAGCCAAAGTTTATGAAAAGTTTTAAAAAGAAAAAAATGCATGGGATTATAAGCATATGTGTCATGTGTATGTGTTATGTGGAACAAAGATATGAAAAGAAAGAATTAGGACTGCTGGATCCTTGAGAAAGGTAATGGAGGGTTTAATTATTACACTGCTTTGCTTTTTCTGAAGAAAAAATGTAGTCTTCCAGCTGGAAGGAGTTCATCTTACATGTTTAAGAGAATGGAAATTAAGATAATAAGAGACCACCTAAGGACATTAAATGAATAAGTTCGTTCATTCATTCATTGAGACATTCATTTAATGCTCACTGATTACCTCTCCTGAGTTTATCAAGTGTCAACCACTGTAATAGGTGGGAATTGGAGATTTAATTGTGACTTGAAACAAGTTAAAATCTCCACATCTTATAAAAAAAAGTATAGCCTTGGGTTTTGGAACAAAGATGGCAGATGTGATTACCAAAGGACTAACATATCATTCTGTGGCCCCCAATCTATAGCTATTACTGCTGTAATAGGTAACCTGCTTCCCCTTGGTCCTGGGCACAAGTGGATTCTGTTCTTCTTGGTGGGAACTCTGGCTCTTTATGGGTCTTTCTCATTTCATGAGCCATTCTCCACTCCTAGACGCAATCAGCTCAGCTCTCCTTGTGTGTCTATTTACCTGTTATTTTTATCTCACAGCCATCAGCATCTGGGCAGTACTGCTTAATGTCTCTCTTAAGCATTTCTTCCAGCTGCTTTTCAGTGGTTACCCTACTTTATCTTTCCATTCAGAAAATTAGTTCAATTTTCTGCTGTCATTTGTTCTCTAAATAAAATGTAGCACAGGAGACCTATTTTTATGCTAGGTAGTTTCGGTAGGCGTGACACATTTGGCCTAATCGCATCCCGAATTACACCTCATTTCCACTAAACTAACATGTATTGAGCTACATGTGCTGAGCTCTCTGCTTGGTGCTGGAGTACGAAGAGGAGAAGCCGACCACCTGGTCGGGGCAGGGTGATATGGTGAAGTGGTGCTAATAAAACTGTTCAAGAAAGTAGACTCTAAGCATCTGAAATCTCATTATAGTATATTATAGTATAGCATAGTTAAAAAGCATTGCTCTTTTTTTGTTAAGCTGAGTTGCTGTTATCTGCTGGTATTCTTTTCTTTCCTCCGGTTTTCTCTCCTCTGAAGGGAAGGAGCAGAATTTTCAAAGCTAAAGCTTCACACAGAATCAAAAAGTATTAACTCACCAAGTTCTGTCTGTTTTCCCTCCTAAATATTTCTCCGTCTTTGCAGATGCAACGCTTGCCCTTCCTTCTGTTCACTGGGCTCTCTGCTTCTCTCTGCACCTGCTCTCAACTACCCCACCCCCGACTACTCTCCGCCGCCTCACAACAGCCAGGGTGGATTTTCCTAACTGCAGATGTGACTTTGCCACCCCCCTGCTTCTATCTGTTCAGTGGCTTCGCTTGGCTCTCAGCTGAACTTCATACTTTCAAACATAACTTACATGACGTGGCTTGGCCACTCTGAATGTGGTGACCACGTCCAAAACCTACCTGCACTCGGTGGTCAATGCCTCCTGGCTTGTACCTGCATCTCTGTATCACATCCTCTTAGGCGCAGGTCTTTAACTGGAGGGCCTGCCCTGACTCCCCAGTTCTAGGTAAGCACTGTAATGGTGTGCAGGCCTCATTATCCTTGTTCAGCTCTCTTTCGTCTGGGTTTCACTGGAAGCTGTGTTAGAACTTGCTTGCCATTGAATCTCTGGTCCTTGGCACTTAGTAGTTGTGCAGTAAGTGGTGGTAATCACCTGTAGGATCCGGGTCACCTGTAGCTTTTTGGGAAATTTTTAACATAAATGATTAAATTTGGTACAATCGCTAAACATCCATTTGTGTAATTCTTGATGTTTATAAGGCTTTCTGTACATTATACTGTGGTGATTAAGCATTATACATCAAATCCGTATGGCTTAGTTTTCTTTTATGATTAGTTTCTTTTTTTTTTTTTACATCTTTATTGGAGTATAATTGCTTTACAATGGTGTGTTAGTTTCTACTTTATAATAAAATGAATCAGTTATACATATATGTATGTCCCCATATCTCTTCCCTCTTGCATCTCCCTCCCTCCCACCCTCCCTATCCCACCCCTCTAGGCGGTCACAAAGCACCGAGCTGATCTCCCTGTGCCATGCGGCTGCTTCCCACTAGCTATCTACCTTACGTTTGGTAGTGTATATATGTCCCTGCCACTCTCTCGCTTTGTCACAGCTCACCTTTCCCGCCCCCCCCCATATCCTCAAGTCCGTTCTCTAGTAGGTCTGTGTCTTTATTCCTGTCTTACCCCTAGGTTCTTTATGACATTTTTTTCCCTTAAATTCCATATATATGTGTTAGCATACGGTATTTGTCTTTCTCTTTCTGACTTACTTCACTCTGTATGACAGACTCTAGGTCCATCCACCTCCTTACAAATAGCTCAGTTTCGTTTCTTTTTATGGCTGAGTAATATTCCATTGTATATATGTGCCACGTCTTCTTTATCCATTCATCCAATGATGGGCACTTAGGTTGCTTCCATGTCCTGGCTATTGTAAATAGAGCTGCAGTGAACATTTTGGTACATGACTCTTTTTGAATTATGGTTTTCTCAGGGTATATGCCCAGTAGTGGGATTGCTGGGTCATATGGTATGATTAGTTTCTTATTAAAATAAATAGATAGATAAATAAATAATAATGACCAGCATGTGAATCTTAAGGCTTGGTTAAGAAACTTCTCTGGTCTCAGATTTTAGTAACAACATTCTACCTAGAGAAGGAAAACAGCCTTAATTTAATGGTGACAAGGCTCAGAGGGAATGTACACATCATCTCTTTTACCATCGTACATAATTCTTTTACCTAAAGCTTTCAGGGATTACTTTCAGGGATTGCTCTAGTGGGGAAGAAATGTCAGAATCATCTTAGATCAAAACTTTATGACAGTGTTTTCTCGAAAATTGTTTAAAATAAATTTACTTCAGTAAATATTGCCTGGAAAAAATGTCAAGTGAAAACTTTTTCCTGAAACGAAAGTCTCTGCGTATAAATCATGGTTACATTGCTCAGTTTTCTGCTGATTAGGACAAGCTCACTGAACGTGAATGGACATTTGCTTCTGGCCCTGTGGTCACTGGGTTATCTGCTGTTGCGTGGACTGTCATCTGTGTGGTGATCTAACAGCAGACTGGGCCCCGATGCGTTTCTTCACAAGAGAGCTCTCCATTCGTTGTTCACAGAACGTGTATTGCCTGGCCTTTATGTGTACTGTGTGCTGTGAGCAGCCCAGATACGATTCCAGCCCCCATGGGAACCTGCTCTGCCCCCCACTCCATCCCTGTGCTCATGGTGTGTGTCTCAGGGATGTGGTGATATTCAGGGATGAAGTGAGGAATCTATTTTCCACCTTTTTGATCAACTAGAAAGAGCTGAAATGTTGGCACCTTGTTTTTTTAGGCTCCATCAACAGAACTCTATGTTGAATTGGCTGTGCCAATGCTGCCTTGGACACAGGAGACTGTTTTGCATATTTTCTGTCCCAAGTAGGACTCGAGTGGAGAAGTGCATGACAGCTATCTGGGGAACAGATGCCTGGGTGAGGGCTTGTTAGCTACCACTGGAAAACTTGTGTCCCTCCTCCCAGCGCCTCTCCTCCACCCCACGCCTTCCTACTTCTTGGGTTCCTGATTCTTAGTATTTGGTGGATATGGTTAAAACAGGATGCTGGAGAGCTACTGTGTTTTTTGAGGAAATAGTATTTTACCTTCAAGGAAACGCCAAGGGTCATCTCTCCGGGTGGGTTCAAACTTAGTGTCAGCTGATCCCAGGGGCTTTTCTCTGTGTATGTGCCTCTCTGGGGGAAGAAAGATGTTGGAGCAACTTTTATGTTGCTTTTCTCTGCCGATGTTAGCAGAGGTATTTTTCAGCTCTGAGTAATCAAACAGTAGAGATGGCTTTCCAGATAGTTGTTAAATCTCCACTTGTACCAGGCACTATTATTAAGGCATTATAGGAAGTAAAATTTAATACAAGACCCAGTTAATCTTTCGGTAAATATTTATTGAATGCTTCCTATGTGCCAGGCATCCCTCTAGGTGCTAGATTTTGAAGTCATGACATGTTCAATAATGTCAATTCTATCTTGAATGCTTGGCCAATCATTGACTCTAAGCAAAGTCGTCATTCAGCTACAGAGCTGATAAAAGAGATTTGGTGAAAAGCAACATTAACAGGGGAAGTGATCGAAGAGCTGTGTGGGATAGAGGGTTGGACCATTAGATGGACTGTGTTACTACCATGTATGTACCACTCAGATATATAAACAGATAGATTATAATATCCATTTAAGAGGCATCAGCAATGCATTGTGGAATATAAAAGACAGAAGAAGTAGTAACACTGAGTTAAACAATAGGCGTAGGAGCCTGACTGGCCTGGGTCCTAGTCTTGGCTCTGCTAC